GGTTCAAGCGATTCTCCCACCTCAGCCTCCAGAGTAGCTGGGATTACAGGTGTGTATCACGACACCCGGCTAATTTTTGTATTTTTAGTAGAGATGGGGTTTCACCATATTGGCCAGGCTGGTCTTGAACTCCTGACCTCGTGATCCACCTGCCTTGGCCTCCCAAAGTGCTGGGATTACAGGCTGAGCCACTATGCCCAGCCCATTTTTCTGTATTTTTAAAATTGCTACCCCCAGCCTCCCCAGAGGAAACTGACCAACCTTTAGGCTGGAAACAGGGAAAAGTAATTATGGTTTTTATAAGGGAAAGATGTCTAAATAGCTTTGGCACAAAACTTCCTGGGCATCTGTACTCCGGAAGAGAATCGCTGACGGGGCACTTCCACCTGGTGTTAATCATGGCCCCAGAGCAGTGGCTGAAGTCTGTCAAAGGACCACAGTGGTCCATGCTGGGACCTGGAAATAGTGACAGCAGCTTGTATTGGATGAGAAGTGACACGGCAACAATACCATTCCTGGACTCTCCAATGTTGCTCCCATGGCTTTTGGATTTAATTAAAAGAAATAAAAGAGGGCCGAGTGCAGTGGCTAATGCCTGCAATCCTAGCACTTTGGGAGGCTGAGGTGGGCAGATTGCCTGAGCTTGGGAGTTTGAGACCATCCTGGGCAACGTGGTGAAACCCTGTCTCTACTAAAAATACAAAAAAATTAGCTGGGTGTGGTGGTGCCAGCTGTAGTCCCAGTTACCTAGGAGGCTGAGGCACAAGAATCACTTGAACCCTGGGAGGCGGAGGTTGCAGTGAACTGAGATTGTGCCACTGCGCTTCAGCCTGGATGGCAGAGTGAGCCTCTGCCTCCAAAAATAAATAAATAAATAATAAATTAATTAAATGAAATATAGCTGGGTTCAGTGGCTCACACCCGCAATCCCAGCACTTTGGGAAGCCAAGGTGGGGGGATTGCCTGAGGTCAAGAGTTTGAGACCAGCTTAGCCAACATGGTGCAACCCTGTCTCTACTAAAATAAATATACATATATATTTATTTGTGTGTGTGTGTGTGTACACACACACACACAAATTGGCTGGCTGTGGTGGCATGCACATGTACTCCCAGCTATTTGGAAGGCTGAGGCAGGAGAATTGCTTGAACCCAGGAGGAAAAGGTTGCAGTGGGCTGAGATTGTGCTACTGCACTCCAGCCTGGGTTACAGAGTGAGACTCCGCCTCAAAAACTAACTAACTAAATAAACAAACAAATGGAAGGCTCTATAGCAGTTGCTATTTACAGTTGAGGAATAGTTTACAACTGTTCCATATACAACCTTACAGGTTGCAAGTCCACTGTCACATCCATTATTGTATTAAATTCTTTTTAAACAGTCCTATGGGGGAAGGCAAGGATTAGAATCAGTATTTTATGGGTGAGAAAACTGAGGTTCAATAGAGTTCAATGACTTGTTCAAGATCACACAGCTAGGCCAGGTGTGGTGGCTCATGCCTATAATCCCAGCACTTTGGGAGGCTGAGGGTGGCAGATCACTTGAGGTCAGGAGTTCAAGACCAGCCTGGGCAAAATGATAAAACTCTGTTTCTACTAAAAATTCAAAAATTAGCCAGGCGTGGTGGTACGGGCCTGTAGTCCCAGCTACTTGAGAGGCTGAGGCATGAGAATCGCTTGAACCCAGGAGACGGAGGTTGCAGTGAGCCGAAACCGTGCCACTGCACTCCAGCCTGGGCAACAGAGTGGGACTGCATCTCAAAAAAAAAAAAAGATTACACACAAAAAGTTTGAGACTCAAAGCCAGCTTTGTCTGTGACTGGATGGTGCCTAGCACAGGAATCTAACGGAAGCATGGCTATGTTTAGAGTTTTCGGAGAGAATATGTAGCCACAGGGACAGAAGGTGAGTGTGAATTAGGCACCCAAAGCGAGCTCGAGTCCTGAGTTGAGAGCTCTCTTGGTGTGGGTCTTTTCTTCATTCTTATCTGCAGCTCCTCTGCTCAGATGTGCCTCTTGCATTAACTAATACTCCATCATTTCCTGATACTTCCTTTTAATTGTGTGTGGGATTATCCATAGCAAGCCTGATTATAAACACTGGGAAATTAGCAAAGAGAGAAGAGGTTTTGTTTTGTTTTACCATTCATTTAACATATAAGATCTGCTTACCTGTGGTGTCAGTGCCTGTAACAATTATACACGTAACCCAGATGTTCCCCAGGCCTCTCACCATAGGCAAGCTCAGTAAGATGGACTCAGATTCCAGTTCCATGACGTATAGGTCCGCAGAGCCCTTACCAAGAGTCTGGATTGCCTCTGGGGTCCTGATTCTGGCATGAATTTCTATGAACCAGATGTGAAACTCAGCCACACACTCAGACAAATAACCAAAAGCATTCATGGATATAATTAGATTTTTTTTGAGTTGGTAAAAATCTTAAATACAGAAAAAACAGAGAGCTGGCTAACAAATACCCATGGCTTCCAACTCTTTGAATTTAATGTTATTATTTTAGAGGATCAGCTTCTGATTTTTTTTATCTAATAAGGTTAAAAGTGACATCTTGGGCCAGTCACAGCGGCTCTCGCCTATAATTCCAGCACTTTGGGAGGCCAAGGCGGATCGATCACAAGGTCAGGAGTTCAAGACCAACCTGGCCAATGTGGTGAAACCCCATCTCTACTAATAATACAAAAATTAGCTGGGCATGGTGGCGTGCGCCTGTAGTCCCAGCTACTCAAGAGGCTGAAGTAGGAGAATTGCTTAAACCCGGGAGGCAGAGGTTACAGTGAGCTGAGATCATGCCACTGCACTCCAGTCTGGGAGACAGAGCTAGATTCTATCTCAAAAAATAAAAAATAATAAAAAGTAAATAAAAGTGACATTTCCTACGTACACCTTCCTTCCCAGAGGAATCCACCATAGGGAATTTGGTGTCTGTGCTTCCAAACCTTGTTTTTATACTATTACTCATGTAATGTATTCATAAATGTTTGTCCTATCTGCTTTTATAATACACATAAATGGTATCATATTTCATTTTCTTCAAGTTGCTTTTTTATGCAGTAATTTTTTTTTTTTTTTTTTGAGACAGAGTCTTACTCTGTTGCCTCCACCTCCCAAGTAGCTGGGATTACAGGCACGTGCCACCATGCCCCACTAATTTTTTGTATTTTTAGTAGAAAAAATGAAGTTTCACCATGTTGCCCAGGCTGGTCTTGAACTCCTGAGCTCAGGCAATCTGCCCGCCTCAGCCTCTCAAAGTGCTAGGATTATAGGCATGAGCCACTGTGCCCAGCCTAGTTCCTGTTTTTGTAAGGAGATTGGGACGATACACAAATAAACAGAGAAATGGTTATATGTAAGAAACACAAATAAGTCTATCTGCCACCCTCACTCCGTGGACGTAGACCTACCAGGCAATTCCACCTGCTGCCTCAACTCATATTATTCCCAGACATTTGCCTTCTGACTGACAACCTTCTCCTCCTTACCTACTTTTAACGCTCCTACCATCATTCTGTTCTCTCTACCTTCTTTGCAGGGGCAAAAAGTAAATTCCTCCCGTTTTCTTGTGGAAAGCTCTTAATTATCTCTTCTTACTAGGGGCCTGGTGCTCCTGCCTCCAGTTTGTGGTTTCTCAAACACAGTTCCTTCGTGTTTCAGTTAAGGATTGCAACATAGCAAGTCCACCCCAAAACTTAACTATCTTAAAACAATACTACTTATTATCTCATGAATCTCTGGGTCAGCAATTTGGGCCGGGCTCAGCAAGGCATTATTTCTGGTCTTGGGTAGGTTTATTAATGCACTGTGGTTAGCCAGGTGGCTCTGCTTCAGGGACTGGTTGACTGCCAGCTGGGGCAACAGCAGTGACTTGAACACTCATCTCTCCTGCTCCTGGAGGCTTGCCAGGACGTGTTTTCACAGTTGCAGCAGGGCTCCAAGAGCAACAGAAACAGCATGCAAGGCTTTTGGATCTCCAGGCTCAGAGCTGGCACAATGTCACTTCTGCCTCATTCTATTGACCAAAGCAAGACACAGGCCAGCTTAGATTCAAGATGTCAAAAAATAGACTCCATCTCTTGATTGGAGAAGCTGCAAAGTCACATTGCAAGGGGCATGGAAACAAGGAGGAGTGGAGGACTGTGGGTTGGATTCTATGGGAAGCAGACCCTGAGATGGAGATTAACATGCAGGAAGCTACTCAGGGAGCGCTCTTGGGATCAACAGCGGTGGAAGAGCAGAGAAGGGAGCAGAATGGAACAGAGGGAGAAATTGAAGTGCCGTATCAGAACAAAGGCCTCCATTGACTTCATGGAGACCTCTGAAACTGGAATAGGTCTTCCAAGTTGTCCTGAGTAGAGGCAAGGGGAACAGGCCTCTAAAGGTCCCAAGCTGATCAATCATTTATGCTGACTGCCCTGAAAAGGCAGCAACCAAGGAAATTCCCAAAGAGGGCTTGGAGCCAAGGATCATCTGCCAACACTTTTCCCAGTAGCTCGTGGAATAAATCCATCATTCCTCAATGCAGAAGGAGGGTGCCTGTGTAGAACATCACAGTCCACTCCACTGCCACCTCTCCCTAAGAATGCTAATGCTTATGATAACAGGCTTGTCATTTGCTATGTATGTATACCTTAAATGTTTACAATCATTTATTAAACACATCGCCTAACTTGTGCAGATTTTAGATGATCACGATGCTAAATGTCACTCCTTTGAACTTAGGCTTCATAGTTTCATTGCTCATTTATCTAGGTCACCCACTCAGAACTTTAAGGGATGAGGAGAAACAGCTTCTCCCATCTGAAATCTAGGCAAGAGGTGCTCAATGGCTCCCACCCAGGAGGAAGGTCTCCGTGTGTCTGTGCTTGGGTTGGGGGAGCCATTGCGCCTAGGCCTTACCCTCAATTTTTCCTCTTCCCCCCTGCTGCCCCTGATGCCCACTGTGGTTTCCTGGTTGGTGCTTGCACAGGGAATTTAGCTTTGAGATTATCTAAAGCCCCAGGAAAAATGGTGGAAAATTCATCATTGCCATTGCCAGAAAGAGCGATTTATGGCTTTGTTCTTTTCTTAAGCTCCCAATATGGCTTCAAACTTTACCTCATACAGGCTTTTATTCCTGAATCTTGGCTAAAATCCATAGGTTTAACCTATTGCCCTCAAAAATATTGGACAGTTGCATTGCCTGTCTATCCCCTGATTACTATAGTAATCAGCTGTGTGCCCTTGTTTGGGATTAACATGATCAGTACCTCTTCACTCAACTCCATTCATACGATCAGAGATAACTATGCTAAAAATCAACTGCAGAAGAAATACCAGGAGGCCACTCCAGCATTAAAGATAACTCTATTTGTGAAATAAACCACATGTTCTTTCTTGCAGCCAAAGACCTTTAGACCAAAAACTGAAATGTATGTAGCCATACTAACACCAAGCATTTATTTATCCGTAAGTTTTTGCCATCATTATTTTGACCATAAATTAATTCAACCATCTCTCTTATTAATCGAGGAGACGTAAAAAATGGAAATTGATCTTCTCTTAGATTATGTTCAATGAATATTGTAAGAGTTCTCAAGAATTAATTGTTAATGAACAGAATAAATAAAATACTGCATTACCAATTTAAAAAAAACAAAGTCGAGGCAAGAACCATTTCAATCCATGCTGGCAACAGAGTCACCAAACTACAGTTAAAGTAGAGACACGGTGTTCTTTGTAGTTCTTTGGAGAGAGAAAGTCTAAGATCTGAGTCTTGGTGAGATGATCACTCAACAGGGAATGCAGGAAGCTGGGATAAAATTTGGCTGGCAGATCAAGTCGTAAGAGGAAAAGGAGACAAAGCGAGGCGTTGAAAGATAAAGAAACAACCCCATGAGGGCAGCTCTTGTAACCTGGGAAGACATTTCATGCCTTGCAGAGGCAAGTTGCTTGTCTGGGAAAATTCCAGGGCAGCCGTCAAATCAGAATTTGGGGAGCTGGATGGAGAATTGATTTCACCTGCAACAGAGGAGACTCCCTGTGACCGCGTAGAAAAGGCCCTGCTTTTTGAAAACCAAAGAATGTGACCTTCAAACGCAGGCACCCTTTCCACCAGGGCACTGTGCTCCAGAGATTCACTTTAATGGACTATGTCAAAAGAATTCTTTACTCTCTGGCTTTCTATTGGGTTTGGCCAATGGGAGGCACCTGCAGGATCCTAGAGGATGGAAGGAGAGAGAAATGAGGGCATTTATTTACCCAGCTCCGCCTCCACTGGAGCCAAGGACTGGAACCATTATGAAAGACCCTTTTCGCAACTCCAGCTCTTTCCACATTCACATGAGCACCCCTTCTTCCTGCCCCTTTAGGCCGGGACCCATAATGTACCCCCTCCACTGTTGCAGCCTTTGGGGTGCTTCCCTCATTCCTGTTGGCTTCATTTAACCATCCTTACAACTTTATGAATACTTTCCTGGCCAGGCAGGGTGACTCACACCTGCAATCCCAGCACTTTGGGAGGCTGAAGCAGGAGGACTGCTTGAGTCTGGGAGGTCAAGGCTGCAGTGAGCTGTGATCACGCCACTGCACTCCAGCCTGGGAAACAGAGTGAGACCTTGTCTCAAATAAATAAATAAATAAATAAATAAATACGTTCCTCGATCACTCCACTTAAGTGTTATCTTTTTTGATTCAATTCTAGATGCTAGTCACTTGACCTAGTTTATTGGAAAGGGGACATTTTTATGGAGAGTTGTCCCTTTTGGCTGCCCAGCCTCAGAAACTCATACTCATGTCTGGAGAATTTCCCATCATATGAGTCTTGGTAGGAAGTAGACCTCACTTCCCCATGCAGAATGTGGAAGGGCTAGCAACTTGCTTTTCAGGTCCCCTTGCAGCTAGGGTTTGGCCATGTGACCTAGGCTCAGCCAGTCTGAGGCACAAACTGAACTGTGAATGAGGAGTCAGTGAGATCAAGACATAAGGACGGTGCTGAGTATGGTGGCTCATGCCTATAATCCCAGCACTTTGGGAGGCTGAGGTGGGTGGATTTCTTGAGGCCAGGAGTTTGAGACCAGCCTGGCCAACATAGCAAAACTCCATCTCTACTAAAAAAAAAAATACAAAAAACACTAGCCAGGTGTGGTGGTGCACACCCATAGTCCTAGCTGCTTAGGAGGCTGAGGCAGGAGAATCACCTGAATCTGGGTGGTGGAGGTTGCAGTGAGCCAAGATCATGATACTATACTCTAGCCTGGGCAACAGAGTGAGACTCTATCTGTACTTTTTTATTTTATTTATGTATTTATGTATTTATTTACATTTTTGAGATGGAGTCTTGCTCTGTCATCTAGGCTGGAGTGTAGTGGCACGATCTTGGCTCACTGCAACCTCTGCCTCCTGGGTTCAAACAATTCTCCTGCCTAAGCCTTCTGAGTAGCTGGGATTATAGGTGCATGCCACCACATCTGGCTAATTTTTGTATTTTTGGTAGAGACAAGGTTTCTCCATGTTGGCCAGGTTGGTCTCGAACTCCTGACCTCAAGTGATCCAGCTGCCTCAGCCTCCCAAAGTGCTGGGATTACAGGCATGAGCCACTGCACCTGGCCGAGACTCTGTCTCTAAACAAAAGAAAACAAGCACAACACAACAAGAACAACCCAAACCAAAGTAAACAAAAACCTCTACCTAAATCAAAAAAGAAAGAAAGAGAGACAGAAAGACAGCAAGAGAAAGAAAGAGAGAGAGATAAAGAGAGAGAAAGAGGAAGGAAGGAAGGAAGGAAGGAAGGAAGGAAGGAAGGAAGGAAGGAAGGAAGGAAGGAAGGAAGGAAGGAAAGAAAGAAGGAAGGAGAGGCAGGGAGGGACAGACAGATAGTGGAGAGGCACAGTCTGATGGTGGTGGCCATAGAAGCAGCAATATCCTGTCTCTTGGGCAGCCCAGGCAGGAGGGCCAGTGGCTGTTCCTAGCGTCCAGATGCAGAGCTTTAGCAGAGTCAGAGAGGCAAATGGAAGGGTCTGGTACTCTGCACTGGGGGCGGCAGGGTCCTCACCAGGTTACCCTGTGTTTCTGACATTGTGGCGTCAAGGTCTTCGGGCTCTGTTTCTTCATCTGTACAATGAGGACAAGAGTCAGGTTTTCCTGTTTTGAGGATGAAATAACACCAGGTGTGTAAAGTCCTCACCAAGCTGCTTGGGCCACAGGAGCCATCAGTAATTGTTGCTGTTGTTGTCTTCATTATCGGCATTATCATCGTCATGATTTGGGGACTCATGGAGACTACTTAGAGCAGGCATCTTAAACTTCAGATGCCTACAAGAGCCAGGTAGACAACAGGAAGGATGACCCATATGGGTTCCCCTGGGACCCATAGTCCTGAGGAAAACTCTCCCAAGGGACTATGGAAAATGTGTGAGTGTGTGCCTGTCTAGGGGGAAGCCACTTCCCAGCAACAGCCAGGTATTGCCATGTGGAATGTGAGCCTAGTGATGCCAGATTTTCCACTACTTCAAGAGAGGTCAGATATCCAGCTATTTGGGGAAAAGCTTGATGTTTTTCAAAAATCTAAAGAAGCACTACACTGGCCAAAGGAAACCTTCCTGGGGCCACAGCAGGCTGCAAACGCTAATTTCTAAATTCGAATGCAAATTTCTGGATTGAGTTGAAATTGTCAGGGAGGGAAAGTGGTTGGGCCAGTTTAATTTCATTGGCTCGATCAGGTATGGCCATGGTTCACCACTCACCCAGTGGGGAATGTGGTGGACACTCTCTGACAATGGGGTATGGGCAGGAATGTAGTGATAGGTATACTTTAGAGAAGGAGGCAAGGACCAAGGGGATGCCCCAAGAGCTGCTTTTCTATGGATGCCAGCGCACTGAAAACAAATGAATCAGGAATGCACTAAATCCCAATAGCTGCAAGGTTAAGACAGGGGCTTATCTTATTATTTATTTAAATAACAATGTATCTGGTGGTAGGGGAGAACGGGGCTAGCACAAAGGCTCAGATAGATCCACGTGACTCCAGATTACTTCTACCTTTTCATACCTCTGTCCTAGCATGTAGGCCTTTGTCCTCATACTTGTCACCTCATGGTTGCAAGATGGCTGCAATTGTGACCATCACAACTGTGTTCCAGGTGGAGGGAAAGGAAGTGAGAAGGAGTAAGTAATGGCCCTTATGTCAGGACTTTTCAGAAATCCCCAGCATAAGGCCAGGTACGGTGGCTCATGCCTGTAATCCCAGCACTTCGGGAGGCCAAGGCAGGTGGATCATGAGGTCAGGCGTTCAAGACCAGCCTGGCCAACATAGTGGAACCCTATCTCTACTAAAAATACAAAAATTATCCAGGCATGGTGGAGGGTGCCTGTAATCCCAGCTATTTGGGAGGGAGGCTGAGGCCGGAGAATTGTCTGAACCTGGGAGGTGGAGGTAGCAGTGAGCTGAGATCCTGCCACTGAACTCCAGCCTGGTTGACAGTGCAAGACTCTGTCTCAAAAAATAAAAAAAGAAAGAAAGAAAAAAGAAATCCCTGGAATATACATATTTTTTCATCTTATTGGCCAGAACTAGTTCCCATACCCATACTTAGTCACAAAGGAAATTATGAAGGTATTTTTAGCTTGGTACATTGCAGCCCAATATCAGGGTTTTTAAAAACCCTATTTTGGAAACAAGGAGAGAATAGACCTTGAGTAGGAAATCAGCAGCCTCTGCCACTTCCTCTGAATATGTACCACGTGCTAGACCCCAGCTAAGAACTGAGATACCAGGCTGACAGACACAGTCTGCACAGCAGAAAGATACAGAAGTGGGCCATGTGTGGTGGTTCCCGCCTGTAATCCCAGCACTTTAGGAGGCCAAGGCAGGCGGATCACCTGAGGCCAGGAGTTTGAGACCATCCTGTCTAACATGGTGTAACCCTGTCTCTACTAAAAACACAAAAAATTAGCCAGGCATGGTGGTATGTGCCTGTAATCCCAGCTACTTGGAAGACTGAGGCGGGAGAATCACTTGAACCCAGGAGGCAGAGGCTGCAGTGAGCTGAGATTGCGCCATTGCACTCCAGCCTGGGCAACAAGAGCGAAACTCTTTCTCAAAAAAAAAAAAAAAAAGATACAGAAGTGGTTGTGGAACCCAGTGCAGCTGCGCCTGGTTCCAAAGTGAGAATGTCAGTGTTTGGCTCTTTACAGCTCCTCTAGGCCTCCCAACCTTCCTGACCCTTCTCCGATCTTCTGCTGTCCGTGTGGCCACACAAAGGGCTGAGCAGGGTGGAAAGAATGTGTGATTAACACCAGTAGCAGTTTCAGGAGGCATCCAAGAGATGTTCCAGAGAGAAATATGTAACTAGCACATCTGGTTTATAATGCGTATTAATTCCTGACATGTAGTTTAAGTAATATATGTAAAGCAAAAAGTCCAAGTGTTGATATAGGGGACTTTTCATTACTCTGTCAGCAGAATTCATGTTCTGTTTGTGCAGTGCTCTGGGCCCAGCATCTCACCTAGGGCAGCGGGAAGGGGAAGGCTCTCTGATGGGTGCCAGTGGATGGCGGAGGCCCCTGCTGATGGCGATGGGGATGCGGATGAGTTCTTGGAGACCCTGGTAGGATTGGCAGGAGCTCTTCTGGCAAAGAAGATCG